ATCTTCTTCTTACCCTCTCAACTTCTGACTTCCCTGCAGTTGCAGACTACGAGAGAAGAGATACCGGGCTCGGTGACATATGATCCAGACTCGACTTTTTGGGATTCAGACATGGCAGCCAGGGACTATTTGGGATTGGTGACCAAGACTTGGTGTTAACGACATTCCCATCTTCTCCCCTCCTTTTGTCTGATCCTTATCTCTTCGTCTGTGTATGTCTGGACCTGGCGCTATCTTCCTGTGTGCAGCGCCAGGCTCCTTCACACTTCGTGATGGATACAATGCATGTTTAGTCTGAGTTCAAACATTGATTGGGCTAGTTAGAGGTGCTCTAGCATTCTGCTTCGTTACTATGAACTACGTGAATGAGGTCAGACCTGTCAGGTCAGTCTTGTATCAAAGTCTTCCCTGCGGTCTTCAGCATCTTTATGTATGAATGAGAACGTACATTGCTCATTGTCTATTCAGTCCTTTTCATCACATTGCAGATTCTCGGTTTATTACGTACATTGCATATTTGTGCATGTAACAGTTGGTATCGGAGCTTTTGCACGTGAATCAGGACTATCTGATCTGACACGTGTGCGGGGATCAAAAAGCTAGTTAGTCTTTTCTGTTGATTGATACATACTAGTTAGACCCCAAAATCACGATCTTGACCTGACTACAAAAAAAAAATTCGAAATTTTTTCTTTTCTCGGATTTTATTTTCTCGCTATTCTGCTGTAGAAAATCGCTATATCGCAACAACTGAAATTCCTATTTTCGTTTTTCTTTTTGAAAATCCAAAATTTCGTTGTTAAAAATCCGGAATATATTTCTTTTTGAAAGTTTCGATTTTCTGTTGCATTTCCCGTTACTTAGAACTTCGGAATATCTTCTTGTCTGAAATTCGTTTTTCTGAAAACGGTATGGGAAATACCTCCTGCACGTATTTTTTTTTTTCAAACTGCGAATATTCCCATCAGAATAAATGCGAATATTTGTCATTTCTGTCGGACTTTTTTTTTTCGCAGTTCTTGGATTCTGTCAGATACTTCTATAAATCGGTTGCAGTCTAAAGTCGATTTTTTTTTTTCGTTTTCAGAGATCGTTTTGTACTTCAAGGGAGATTGGGAGACCTACCGAACTTGCAAAAAAAAATCGGGATTTTTATTTTTTTAGTTTCTGGAAATTTTTTTTGCAAAGTTCAAACTTTTCTGGTTTGATTAGTGGCTCCTTATCTAAGTGTGAGTTGGGCGATTATCCCACCCACCCCTCCCCACCTACGTTATTGCCATCTCTTGCCTTACCATTTTTGGTTGTCTCCGGGTACCCCTTGTGACGGCATTGGTAAGTTGCCACGCCACTAGGCCATGTCAGCAGACCACGTCAGCAGGACACGTCAGCAGGCTACGTAAGTACGTCAGCAGACCACGTCAGCAGGCTACGTCAGCAGGACACGTCAGCATTGCCACGTCAGCAGCAAGGGATACCACATCAGCAGGCACTGGTCTGGTCTATGCTGTTGCAATCACAGACAACAGTCATGGACCAAAAGGGAGGGGAAACAAACGAGGCTTATCTGGCCGCATGTTAGCCTGGAGTACCGAGACAAATAAGCGGGCAGATGACGCTGTCGCAGCAGCCAAGAAAAGGACCGAGGATGCCGAGCAGGCACGTCTGCTGGTCGTGCAACAACAACGCCGGCACGACGAGGCAGCAGCAAGGGCTGCCGACGAAGAAAGGACACAGCGTCGTGAGAAGATATTCACCGGAGAGTGGGCATTACTTCCCATGGCAGGAGAATGGCGAAGCGAGGCCGAGAACAACCAGTTGGAGGACAGCGCAAACAAGATAGCGCTCCTCCTCTCACATCTCACGGATCTCTTGGCAACCTGCATTACACAGCAGGTGGAGATCCTTGGTCTTGACAACTCGGTAGCTCAGCTCCAAGACTGCCTTCAGCGAGTGGAGCAGCGACCAGTCGCCGCCGCTGACGCAGGCTCTTCTAATACTGCCGACCGCCTCACCGCATTGGAGATGCACGTCGGCTCCCTCCAAGATGGCGCACAGTTACAGCAGACCGTGACGCAACAGTTGCAGCAGCGGGTCTGCACTACCGCCACCACCTCTAGTCCGGAGCCGCGCGAGACAGCTCCTAAGTTCGAGGGGCAGGAGATTTTCCACGACTCAATCAAGACAGATCCAATTCCATGGTTTCGCAAGTTCGAGCTCATGCTACAGCTCCACAACGTCAAGGAAAACAAGCACCACGCTTACTTGTACTCTCGCTCATGGGGCGCGTGTCAGGCGTGGTTGGACAACTTGCTGTCCAAATACGGAGTGGTAGCAGCGGACTTGCACACCATGATCAGCTGGGATGATCTGAAGGCAGCGTGGCACAAGCGGTTCCAGGTGGAGCCGCCAGAGATCAAAGTCATGGATAAGCTTATGGTCTTCGAGCAAGGCATGCTGCCGAGTACGGACTGGATCGCCGAGTACCAACGCTTGACGTCAGTCCCAGACATCCAGATGGGCTTCAAGGCCGTCCGCCACTACTTCATCTCAAGGTCATGTCCGGCATTGAGCAATGCCCTGACGCATGTCGAGGACACCTTGACGACGACGACAGAGTTATTTGACAAGGCTGCGCAGATCATCGTTACGAACAAGGAGGTCAAGAACCTCCGTTCATCTGCGTTAGGCCCGAGCGGGAACCAGCATCGGCCACGAGTGGCCGTGGTCGTAGCGGCAGCGCCGTTAGACCAATCCAGCGAGGCTGCGTCTGCCAGTGAAGGGGACAAATTCGCAGCCGCCCGAGAAGGTGGCCGCCCCGGCAGAGGCCGAGGTCGCGGCAAGCCGAAGACACACACCGTTTCTAGCCCTGGGCCCGGTGCAGCAGCTCAGACAGGTCCATGGACCCCGTATGGCATCTCCGAGTCCGCATACAAGGCGCGCGAGAGATTCCACTATTGCCTTTGGTGCAACAACGATCTTCATCAGACGCAGGTTTGCCCATTGAAAGGCAAGGGCAGACAGGGAAACTGAGCACCGCCGAGAGTGACGCGATGACACTCTCGATGCCTTCGGAACTGGTTTCTTCACGAGTGACCAGCCTTCATTCTGAGGCGCACGCGGAAGTCGACAGTCCTTTGCTTCTATTTTCTTTTGAGGACTATGCTGCCCGTCTTGTTCCAACGCTGGGTACTCACGCTTAAGGACAAGGAGTGTGTGCGGTTTCTTCTCCGTCCGGCAACAGCGACATATCGTCTTCAAGTGGTTCATCACGGGATTCGGCGCGCGAGTTCAAGATAGGGTTTTGGACTCACTCACGTATGAGGGCTTTGCATGGCTTCCTCTCCCGACCACAGGCTGTTTGCCGGGACCGCAATGCGTAGCACTTAGCGCTCATCTCCACACTTGCCTTTCCTTTTATGCACCACCAACTTCGCCGACGGATGACGAAGTCGCGGTGGGGGACATCCTGGCGTACGTTACCAAGGTGGCCCGCGAGTTTCGCACGCAGCGGTACGATAACAACAATGCACCGCTCATGTATGTCCGCATCCATATTGGGCAAGCGTCCTACAGCGCTTTGCTGGATAGCGGCGCGACTCGCAACTTCATGAGCCAGTCTTTTATCCAAAGAGCTGGCCTTGGCGCACAAGTTCGGAGAAAGGCAAACCCGACGGCGATCAAGTTGGCGGATGGAAAGACACAGCAACTACTCGACCGCTACATCGAGGCCGTACCGGTGACATTTGATATTCTCGACACGGACTTCGACATCATTCTGGGAATGCCTTGGCTTGCAAGTGCGGATCACACGGTCAACTTCCATCGGCGGACTCTTAGCGTTCGCGACGCCTTCAGCGCGGAAGTGGCGTGTATGATTCCTCTACCGCACTCTCCGATCCGGTGCCAAGTGGTGACGACCAAATCATTCCGGGCAACTTGTGCTTACGAGCAGCCCGAGGAGATCGACATGTGTTCCCTTCGGACCGTCGCGGTAGGCGACTCTTAAGCCACAAACTTGTCTTCGGACCCCCGTGTGGTACGGTTGTTGAACGAGTTCGCCGACATCTTCGAGTCACCTACTGGTGTGGTGCCGGGTCGGCCGATCTCTCACGAGATCATTCTTGAGGCCGGTGTCGTGCCGCCGAAGGGTTGCATCTATCGGATGATCGAGGAGGAGCTTGAGGTACTCCGCGCACAACTCGATGATTTGTTGGCCAAGGGCTGGATCCGCCCGAGTAGCTCCCCATATGGAGCACCAGTTCCCTTCGTTAGGAAGAAGAACAAGGATCTACGATTGTGTATCGACTACCGCAAGCTCAACGCGCAAACCGTCAAGCATACGGGGCCTCTTCCTCACATCGAGGATCTTCTCAAGCGACTGGGCGGTGCAAAGTATTTTTCCAAGTTGGACTTGAAATCGAGAGATCATCAAATCTCGATTCAGCCGAACAATCATACAAAACTGCATTCAAGACGCGGTACAGGCATTTTGAGTGGGTGGTCATGCCTTTTGGCCTCACCAATGCCCCGGCGACGTTCCAAGTGGCGATGACCAATGAGTTCCGTGCAATGTTGAACCGGTTCGTGCTGGTCTACTTAGATGATATTCTCGTCTACAGCCGGACATTGGAGGATCATCTTGGACATCTTCGACGAGTGTTGGAGACGCTCTGTCATGCCAAGTACAAGGCCAACCGCGACAAGTGCGAATTTGTCCGGCAAGAGCTGGAATACTTGGGCCATTTTGTCACACCGGAGGACATCAGTACGCTATCGGACAAGATTCAGGCCGTCCAAGAGTGGTCGGAACCTCGGAACGTCACGGATGTCCGCTCGTTCCTCGGTCTTACTGGCTACTATCAGCGCTTCATCAAAGGCTACTCCAAGATTGCGACCCACTTGAACAAGCTTCAGCGCGAGGATCGACCGTTTGACTTTGGAGAGGAGGCGCGAGGATCATTCTTCGCTCTCAAAGTCGCGCTATTATCTGCGGAGGTCTTGCGAATCTACGACCCGCTTAGGCCTACGCGTGTCACTACGGATGCGTCAGGCTATGGCATTGGTGCAGTCCTCGAACAACATGATGGTGTGGACTAGCACCCGGTCGAGTACTTCAGCAAGAAAGCGCCCCTCGAGCATTCCATTGACGATGCACGCAAGGAGTTCCTCGCCTCCGTCCACGCGCACAAGCAGTTGCGGCACTTCCTCCTTGGTTGAAGCCAATTTCGCTGGGTAACGGGCAACAATCCGTTGGTCTTCTACAAGACCCAAGACACCGTCAACAGCACCATCGCTCGATGGATGGCTTTCATCGACCAGTTCGACTTCTTTCCCGATCACATTCCCGGGAAGTCGAACCGTTTTGCGGATGCTCTTTCACGGCGTCCGGATCACTGTACCGCAGTCTACTCAACCTTCAAGATCGACGACGACCTGCGGAACAGCTTCATCCGCGGCTACCAAGCCGACCCCGATTTTTGCGACAAGTACGCGAATTGCTCCTCTCCTAATCCGGCTCCTTTTCACTACCGGATCCAAGAGGTGTACTTGCTTGTCCACACGCGGGGGAAGGACCTTCTTTGCGTACCGAGTGATCCTCACTTGCGTACACGGCTTCTTGGCGAGTTCCACGACGCTCCCGCCACTGGACATTTTGGAGTCAATCGCACAATTGGCCGACTTCGCCAGCGATTTTGGTGGCCCGGCCTTCTCGGCGACGTCACACGCTATTGCGAGTCATGCGAGGTTTGCCGATGCTGCAAATCCCACAACCATCGTCCGTACGGCGAGTTACGACCATTGCCAGTCCCGTTGCGGCGAAGGGAAGCGATTGTCATGGACATTACCGGCCCGTTCCCCAAGCACAAGACTGGAGTGGATAGGATTCTCACGGTGGTCGACCGACTCACCAAGTTCGCCATGTTTTTGCCTTGTCGCTATCATGCCAAGGCACCGGAGTTGGCCGAGGATCTGTACGCCGGTTGGATTCGCACCACGGGTTACCCCAAGGAGATCATCTGTGACCGCGACACTCGGTTCATGTCCCATTTTTGGTTTGCGCTCATCAAGCGATGGGGCTCATCTCTCAGGCCCAGTTCAGCTCGCCACCCTCAGACCGATGGTCAGACGGAGAGGGCGCAGCAGACAACACAGGTTCTCCTTCGCACTCTCATCCGCCCCGACCAGAAAGACCGGGTTGAGCGACTGCCGGGTGTTGAGTTGGCCTACAACTCTTCCATCCACCCGACTATTGGGATATCGCCCTTCGAGTTTGAGCATGGCTCGCTGGTCACATCACCGTTGGACACTATTACTCAACGCACGGCCGAGAGCGACGACCATCTTCTTTTCTTGCGGCGGATGCAAGAGCTTCTTTTCAAGGCACACGACCAGATGGCTAAGACGCAACAGCGCATGCGCCAACAGGCAAATCGCCAGCGTCTTCCTTGTCCATTCCGTGTCGGAGACCTTGTCTGGGTTTCAGCAGCGGAATTCAGCCTTGAACAGGACATCTCTCGCAAGCTCCTTCCGAAATGGATGGGGCCTTGGCCGATCATCGAGCCCGTTGGGGACGCACCTGAGGGGCCTTCCTTCACGATTCAGGTGCCTAGCCACTTGCCCGTCTACCCAGTCTTTCATTGTTCCAAATTGCCTTTGAACACGTCTGCGGAACATGATGATTTTCGCGGGAGACGTACGCAGGATCCACCTTCTATGGATGGTTTTCAGGAGGTCGGCGACATCATCTCCCAGCGACGCTACGGCAACAAGCCAACTGAGTATCTGGTGCATTTTGCTCACAGCACTCATCGAGCTGATCGTTGGTTGACCCGTGCGGAACTGCAAGCGACAGCTCCAGACGTTCTCGCACGCTATGAACGCAAGATGCAAGGCAAACCGGATTCTTCGGCTCCACGCCGTGCCCGCATCCAGGTTCCACCTTCAGACCGATGGCTTCGCCCTCACCCCGGCTTGACTTCATAAGGAAGGGGTGGTGTTACATGCAGCGCGTGCACACACGGGCCATTTTGCAAGCCCGACGACCATTTTGCAGGCCCGACTGGATTCAGGCCAAAACCCTGGATTTCATGCCGAAAGCCTGAAATTCAGGGCTTACAGGCCCCATTTCAGTTCAGACCGAAAGCCTGACTTTCAGGGCCTACAGCCCCTGCGACGGTTCAGACTAAAAATGGTAATAGCATTTTTAGCCTGAACCCAAGGGCCATTTTCGGTCGTTCATCCGAACGACCGGCCCTGAAACTCAGGCACCAAACCAGGGTTTTGGGAACAACGTATACTTAGACTGTTCCCACGCCTGCCTCAAGCAGGCTGCTGCACGCCAGCCCCTGGCACACTTCGGCATTGGCAAGAGCTGCCTCCTCGGCCTGCTCGCCCTCCTGCAGTCAGGAAGCAGGCCGAGGAAGTACTAAGGGACTTCCCAGGCACTCCACGGGTAGGCAGTTCGGAAGTCGTAGTCTTCAGGATTCGGGAGCAGCACTCTGGAGGGAGCGCTGCGTTGTAGTAGAGTAACGTTAGCTAGTAGTCTCCAGTGCTGGGCGCAGTAGGTAGTTGTAGTCTTCGGCGTTGGGCGCCATAGCTAGGTAGTGGTAGAGATGATGGGCAGAGGCCAGGGATCACTTACCTGCAACGCCATTGCTCCAGCTTCGTCTTCGAGGTACCTGCAGCACAACACCAACATCACAGGTTAGTACCTCAGTGGTTCGTAACAGTAAGAGAGAGAGAGTTCTCTTCTTCCTCTTCTCAGTCCCCTATCTTCTTCTTACCCTCTCAACTTCTGACTTCCCTGCAGTTGCAGACTACGAGAGAAGAGATACCGGGCTTGGTGGCATACGATCCAGACTCGACTTTTTGGGATTCAGACATGGCAGCGAGGGACTATTTGGGATTGGTGACCAAGACTTGGTGTTAACGACATTCCCATCTTCTCCCCTCCTTTCGTCTGATCCTTATCTCTTCGTCTGTGTATGTCTGGACCTGGCACTATCTTCCTATGTGCAGCGCCAGGCTCCTTCACACTTCGTGATGGATACAATGCATGTTTAGTCTGAGTTCAAACATTGATTGGGCTAGTTAGAGGTGCTCGAGCATTCTGCTTTGTTACTCTAAATTACGTGAATGAGGTTAGACCTATCAGGTCAGTCTTGTATCAAAGTCTTCCCTGCGCTCTTCAGCATCTTTATGTATGAATGAGAACGTACATTGCTTGTCGAGATTCTACTCGTACCGCATTGTCTATTCAGTCCTTTTCATCACATTGCAGATTCTCGGTTTATTACGTACATTGCATATTTGTGCATGTAACAGAGAGAGAGAGAAAGAGAGAGAGAGAGAGAGAGAGAG